CCCATGCACGCCTGTGATCAGACCAGCACAGACCTTTCTTAACTACTGGTACACAGACAACCAGTATCAGATTGATGTGAAAATAAAGTTTTTAATTCAAGAGCATACTATATATTAGAGAATACCATTATTATCAGTAAGATACATGACATAAATTTACCGAGAGTGTCAAGGAGTGTTTGAGATCCAATCAATAACTGTCCATCCTCATCTTTATGCAATCTTCTTTTCTTCATTTTCATCAAAGCCATCATTCCCTTTCCCATACTTCTTATACTATGGAAGAATCAAACATGGTCATATGTTAGGATAGTTTATTATCATCATCATCTTCTATAATTGTATATTATGAGGTTTTCATTGGAATACGAAAAGTATGCATGAAAGCAGTACAGTGATCACATGACATCATGAGAATCAGAAGTTGATGCATATTCTCAAGATAACCCAATTATTAGATGGCAAAAAAAAGTTACATGTTGTGCGAACATTTGTGTTCAGTGGTGGAATTCTATATCAGTACAGCGTTTTACAAATCAGGGTGAAATCTAATTTATTGGTTTTGAAGTTATGCCACAAAATATGAATACCAAAATTTAAACTAAAGCAGTATCTTATGAAGGTTAGCTTTAATTATGTTTTTATGCTTGGAAATTAAACTGAAAATGATGAAAATTCTGATATAAAGACAGTTTAATAAAGGGAAAGTCACTTTGCTGTAAAAGAGTGAGAAAAACCAGTATATTAGACTGTCATCTGCACTGGTTTGCATGAGTGAGAATCAACAAAATCTTAACTAGTCCTATGGTACATTATTATGGTAGGATACTGCTAGGATACAGAAACACATTAAATTTACAGGAAACACTCATAGAATGGAAGGAAGTGATATCAATAATGCAAAGGTACTTAATAGGATGTCAGTAAAGTGATGTCCTTGGGGAATAGAGAAATAAAACGTCTAAATTTTCTCATTTAAAGCCTTATGGGTGGTTTTGGTCATGTACACTGTG